AAACAAAAACCAACCAAACAAAAACCAACCAAACAAAAACCAACCAACCAAACAAAAAAAAACCAGCGAAAAAGGAACTGGGAAGTTGTATCATTGCCTAATTTGCAGTAAAAAGCTGTTCTCTGTGAACAAAATTTATTGTGCTGCTTTATCATCTAATTAGGTCTATTAAACACGTCTGACATACCAGATTGATGGCCTCAAGAATAATCTATTTAGATTCAGTGATTATTGCACATCTGATAGAACTAAGGGATATTTCTTTCAGACTGAAGGCACAGATAGCATACCAAGTTGATAACAACATGTGCCACAGTCCCATCATTGGATTAGAAAAGGATTTGATATTGCCATTCATTCCACAGGCACATGTCACGCCATAGCTGTGTATTAAGATATTCATGACTCTTTCCTTCTTCCCCATCAAATTAAGATAGTCACCTTCACCTGAGGAGCACATTTACTGTCTTTTTAAGTCTGTGAGGCTTTTTCAAATCAGAACTAAAACTTTCTGAAATTTGAGACTCGTATCTTTTACACTGGTGTTCTCAGAGTGTGCAGGTTTGCTGCAACATTCAGAGTCATCTACACCTACTCTGTTCTCTAGGAGTAGCTGTTACAGCTCCTACTCTCTACTCTAGTGCAGTACTCAGCCTGCAAGCACCATCAATTCATTTCAGTTGTGTCTGAGTTGCTTCTAGTTCCTGCTATCCTAATTTATGTAATTTACAAAATAATTTGGGTTACTGTAATATACACAGCACGTGCACATGAAAAGTTAGATTTATGAAAACTGCCTGGAAAAAGTAGCCCAGATCACAAAACAATGCCAAAGGAGGCCCAAAGAATATTGTAAGGAATAGGAAAACATCTGTGTGTGTGATGAAGCATTACCACAAACTGTTATTTTCACTTCTGCATCACCTGCTTTAGAGCCAGCAGCAAAGAAAAAACAACTAATTTTAGACATCATCAGTAGTTGTACATGTAGAGTAGTCGTTTACCATTGTACATTGAAGGGGGCGGGGAGGAAGAGGCACAAATTAGTTCAACCAAATAGCCCTGCTAGGCCAGAGGGCTGGACAGGACCCGCGGATATCGCTATCGCGTTGCCCAGGGCACTTACACAGCACGACCGTACAACTTCTGCCGCTGCAGGTCTTCCGCCTGTTTCTAAAATCAGCTTTTTGAGCGGCCTGATCCACCAGACAGAAAGAATGCGGTAGCAGATGTAGTGTTATCCCGGCCCGAGAACCCCAAAGAAATAAAATACTTCCGTGCGTATTCCGAGCACCCGGAGACCTGTCGGACGCTCGCTGTGCCTGTGCCCCCCCGCAGCCGGGGCCGGGCCGCAGCCCCCTTGTGCCGGAGCTGCACGGCAGCAGGGGAGCCCCCCTTCCCGGACCCGCCCTCCCGGAGCCTCACCCAGCGGCGCCGGCAGCGCATTCCGGCCCGGCCCGTGGCGCAGCTCCGGGCGGCGGGGCCGGGCCCCCCCCCGAGGTGTGGCGGGCGGGGCTGCCGGGAGCAGGTGGGGCCTCTGGGGAGTGGCGGGACGGGCTTCGTACCCTCGTCTGCATAAAGGTGAGAACACCCGAAATGAACCAGGAGTGGCGAGAGCGGAGCCTGAGTGGGGTTCTCAGCCGGGCGGTTTGTCCCCTTCTCTCGTCTTTCCGTCGCATGAAAAAGCTCCTAGGGCAGATGGGATCAGAATTTCATATTCTCAAAATGCAACAAACACCCGGGTGGACTTTACACCCTGACAGCTTTAAAGAGATTATAAAGAAAGAAATAAAAAGTTCTAATTTATTTCTGCAGGCTCACCTGAAGTAAATAATATTTTCAAGTTCCCTATATAAGTATTTTTCCTGTGAAGGTGGACAAGCATCTTTAACCTTCCCTGAACAGAAGACCAGAGAAGTTCTCTCGTGTGAAGCTTATGCAAAATGTGTCCTAACGCAAAGCTGTAACCCATCTTCATGGTGTGCCTCTCACCACCCTGTTGGTACTTCAGAGAGGACCTGGTGGTGGTCTCTGGGCCCAGCTTTGTCACAGATAGAAGAAGGCACAGCTGAAACAGAAGTCTCTGTGTGGTTTCGATGATGCTCATGTCAGTGCCAACAGTAACTCTGGGCCTGCCACTGCTGGGCTGCTGCAGCGGGAGTCAAAGCCCATCAATGAGTCTCCTCCGTATGACAGATTTCTTTGGTGTAAATTCAACAGCAATCAGATTTGTTGATGACACCCAGTCAGAGTGGGAGCAAACAGAAGAGGCAGACTCAAACTGCAAATGATCCAGAGAGATGAGAGCAAAGGGAACATTACAGACAAGAAGGGAAATTCAGCAGTAGCAAATGTCAAGCCTTACCGAGAGAGGAAATGTTCCAGCCATCACTTCTCACTTACTGAGCACAGCTCTGTGAAGGGCAATACTGTGAAAAAAACCCAAAATGTTATCAAGCTGTACCTAGTGATCATGTGGGAACTAAGTGGCTGGGCTTAAGGTTTTGTTTGTTGATGGATTTAAACCTGTGCAACATGTCAGGAATGCCCACTTGAAAACACAACTACTGGCTTAAACTAGAAATACAAATTTTACCTAAAAAAAATAGTTTTTTAATCATGGAACCATAGAATAATTTGAGTTGGAAGGGACCTTTTCAAGGTCATCTAGTCCAACTCCTCTGCAATGAGCAGGGCCATCTTCAGCTAGATCAGGTTGCTCAGAGCAACCTATTTGTCCTGCACAGCCCACCCCAAGGAAAACAGACTCTTTGGGTCATCACACCAGCCCAGGCTGTGTGTTTGCATCACACCAGCCCAGGCTGCAGTAAATAGAGGGACTTAACTGCTCCCTTGGGCAAAATGCCAGGAGCCACATAAACACCTGGTCCTACCTCAGGGAGGCTGAAGGTTTTAAAGTGTGTCTCAAGCAACTTATTCCTACCCAAACATGAAGATGCCTTTCAAAAATACAAAGTAAATCAGATTGCAAGACTAAGATGCTTCTGTTACAAAACAGGTTATTCCCCATGTGCTTGAGCAGAGGTTTTCGGTGCAAGAGCCAGGAAGAAACCTGTGTGCTCTGTCGTGACTCAGAGGTAGGCAGAGAAGAGCCCAAAGCCAGAGGAAAATTACGTCATAAATTAGCATGCAAGAACAAAAAAACCAACTCTGACCATGAGACAATTTCAGATGATCTGCCCTTTCACAAGACAAAGGTTATGTGAATTTTCTAACAATTTTCCTAAATAATCTAACCTCTCATTTCCCTTGTAACTTTATCCAAGAGAAGAGTTTAGTATTAACACTCATTTTACAACCTCAAACCCTTTAAAAGCATTAAACAGCATAAAAGTTTTGAGTTCTAGATATTTAATCTTTCCCCACGTACTTGTTCATTCAGAGTAACTGATGTCAGTGAAGGACAATGGTACAAACTGCAGATACACTCAACTCCTCATGTTGAGATTCTAATTGGGTAAAAATAGGCAGTGTATTGAGAGGCAATCACTAATTAATGACTTTTAAGTAACTCTTTTTTTAAGTTTTTGACAACTGTATTCCACTTCGTAGCAGTTCATGGAAGCTTACACCACTTTCCTTAATAATAAAGAGAATTCAAATTTTGAATGAGGTGCTTGAATTTCAGAAAAATAACCCTACTAGATTTCTCTGCTATAGAATACAAATACAGTCATTCCTTCTAGTATTTTAATCATATTCTAACTAGGTTTGCATTTTAAGTTACAGTCTTTATTATTTTGAATATCCTTGTTCAAAGTCAAATTCAGATATCTGAGACAAAATACAAATTAACAGATGAGGCTGCCTGGCCCTTGAATGCTAACATTATTTGAAGTCAGTACCTTCAGGAATATATGCCTCTGCAGAAATCTGATGCTGAATGAATTGATTACCTGCCTCTGCTCTTGTTCCCTCTTTCACTTTTTTTTTCTTTTTTTTTCCCCACTGATGTATCTACAAGCTAAAGTAAAATGAAAGGCTGATAGGACCAAAAACCTCCCTGTTTCAGAGACAAGAAAAGGAATCACAAAGGAAATTTGTATGGTTGTTACTAGACTAGAAACAAGATTCCCAAATCCTCTACCCTGTCTCCCCTTCAGTGCTCATACAGATTTTAAAGTAAAGGACAGAATTCATAAATTCTCACTACACTCCTGTAAAAGATTCAATTAAGCCTGTTCCAACGATTTCTTAACACAGTATTTCTCTGAGCTAGAAAAACAACTTGACATTTTGGGCTTTGAGCTTCCTGTTAACATTAGTAAAACCCACAAAAAAACCTATATTTTGCATACTAATTTTGTGTACAATAACTCAATTTTATGCTACTTAAATTCCAGTCACATTTTATGTTGCTTGCTGGCATTTCCTTTATTTTCACATTTGCTTCAAATAGAAACATTGATTAATTTTTAAAACCATTACACTTTGCTCATTTGTCTTTGGGAAAAATGACAAGAACTATTTTGCAAAGCTAGAGCAGGAAATAACACAGGTTTTGGCATAAAAACTTTCCACTTTGAAAACAAAATGGTAAATGATTACACAATTTCCTTCATTTAATGAGTGTTATGATCCAACAGGAGTAAATGGTATTAACAAGGTAATGAAGCATTAGTACCAGCACAGTCAGCATCTCGCTGTCAGATACTAACATTTCACAGCATCTGTTAATCCTAAGCAAAGTCTTGATTTCTACTCAAAGAAAAATAACCACAGCAGGTTTCAAAAAGATACTTGTCACAGGAATGAGAACTGGGATACAATTGTATTTTAAGGATTCTGTGCAGAGTTAAGCAGAAAAAGATATTTTCAAAATAAAGAAAAAATTATTAACTGCTTAAGACTATTCTCAGTAACAAAACTAGAACCGTAGACCTGGGGTGGCTTGTGCTTGGATGAGCACACCACTGTGATAATAATGCTGCCATACTGAAAATGCACATACAATAGAACTACCACCTCCAGTACGTACCAGAGGCACAGAAGAAAATGTGTTACATTTTCAGTATTCTAAATTTATTTTCTCCAAGCAGAACAGGCCAATTACTAAAACTCACGTGGATGATTGAGACAACAGGTTTCTCCTCATCTGCTAAAACAAATCTTGCTTTTGCCAGACTGGAGTGTCTGGAAAGCGTGACCATTCCCCATTCCCATCACTCAGCAACACACATACCTGCATCTGTGAGGTAGGGGTCTCTTCTGTCACTTCCTTGTGTTTTGAGGTAAGGTACATAAGGAGGAAGTAACACATGAAATTAAACAGAATCCACATGGTGGCAGTATTTGAAATACCGAACATTTCCTTTGTCTTGCATCTATCGGGCGGAAACATGTAGATATCAACAAACCAATCCTTGCAGCTTTGTGCAAATACATCCTGTATTACCTTTTCCTTGCACCACCCACTCAAGGCAACTAGACTGAAGACCAGTACTCTATGGGCAGGGAGGAGGGAACTTCTCTCTGCTTAGGTGTTTTTAGCTTCTTCTAGAGTTGTTGGGAAGCACCGATATCCATAGACTGGACATAGCTCTGGTACAAACCTTTGTTATTTGAACAAGGAAGGCTTTCTGGAGGATTAGAGGTGGGTACCCTGCTGCACATGTGAAAGTGAGCTAAGAGGAGTGGCAACATGGTGTCTTCAGTGCCAGATGCTACTGCTTTTATATGGCCTCCAGAACTCCAGGGTTTAGTGAAAACCCCTACAAAATAGCAAACTTTGATCTCTATCAGAGCACGCTCCGGTTGTAATTTTGTCTGTTCCTACACATACACTACACCATATTGCCATATACCGCTATACCATATTCCATAAGGAATCAAAATGAGCTGAGTTTAGGCAGTTTTGAGAAACACATAAGCAATTGTCCCATAACACAGTAAATTACTAGATAGAAACAAACACTGTTGGACAGCTTAGAAAAACATGTTTTCTATTTATTTAAAAATAAGTTTGTAGTTACTACATTGCAGTGACAGTAATTCTTACACATACATTCTAGTTTGTATAAAAGGATTCAAAGTATTATGCATCAAAACTAACATAGAAAGTGTCCACATAACAGTAAAGAAATTTCCAATCCATATGTACAAAAAGAAAGGGCACTGTTATCCTGGTGAGATACTTAAGGTTATAACATGATAATCTAGATTTCTGGAAGGAAAAAAGCCTTGATAAAGCTAAAGAATTATAGTTTTCAAAACTGTTAC